TACTTTTTCTATGCAACTGATATGGATTCTTCTAATGTGAGTGTCCAATTTTTGAAACATTTAGTGAACGATTAATTTCTTCAGATATAAAAAACATTTATGTAGAATAAATGATTGGTTCTAAATGCGACCACATACTGTCAGAGCTCCAATGTTAATGTTTTTACCTAAGGTTTTCTTTCTATTATAGGTCAGATGACCTTAGCTGGCTGAAGCTGCCGCCCATGTGACCACTGACAACTTGAACTCAGAATGATCAGAATTCAGCCATTCTGTCCACAGTCCATCCCATCCAATCACGCCTTTACTCAGAATATGTTTTTGTAACATTTATAAAGGCCAGTACATTACAGTATGTCCCTTAAAGAGCTTTCTACACAGTTCACAGAGAGTTTGCCATTTGAACATGGATATTCAGAGAGGAGACCCACTACCCAAGTGCGGCTAAAAGAAGCTTTTATTCTGTTCTTGCTGCAGTTCCAAAAAGACAAGAGTTTGCCGGTTAGCTCAGGTTCAGATGCACATTTTTTCAATACTGAATATGAACACAATGCTTCAATCGTATATTTATTCTAATCATTATTATTTATTAAGATAACATTTAGGAATGAGCTTATGAAAGATGATTTTTTTTTTAATATCTGGTTTGTATATTATTTACTAATGGAAAAATAGATTAATTAATCAGTCCTTAAGTACAGTCACTCTGGCATACTGTGTGCTTGATGCGTCTAGGTGGCGTAGTTGGTTATCAAGCTGTGAAATGAAGCATGGGTAGTGGAAAAATAGACAGTCACTGAGCGCACATCCAATCATAGCGCTTAGGAGGATTAGATGAACACAGAGCGATGGATGCTGAATGTGATGGTGGTCACAAAAGCGGGAGTATATATAATAGAACTGGGCAAACATGTTACAAAAGGGCATATTACAAAAGAAATGCTGAGCCGCTCTCTTATATCGCCTCTTATTCTCTATCTCTTCTGCCACGCAACCCAGTTTTTTGCTTCCAAATCCTCATAATTCACTTCTGTTCTTATCAGCAAGAATTTGTGCAGAGATATATGGGTCATATACGACAGTCCAAATCTGGAGGTGAAATGTGGGCCATGAAATAGGGCTTAGAACTTAAGAAGCTGTCGCAGAGAATTGAAAAGATCCCTTTATCAAGTACACTAGATGGTAAAAATCTAACATTTTAACATTTTCCATTAACAATTAGTTAGTTAGGTGAACTGCCTATAGTTTTTATACACACACACACATACATTTTATTGCTATTATTGAGACAGAGCAGTTATCCACAAAATGCACAAAAGGAAGGTGAGAAGAAGCTTTGCTATACTTGACATTTTGTCATTCTGTACAGACTGATATTGCTGAAAAGCACAATATCACTTTTATTGTTATGACTTCCATGTTGGTCCGGTTTTTCTATCAGGAAGCATGTTGCAGTTAAATGCATTTTTGAAATCATGCAAATAAAGGAGCCCTTCAACGCTCTAGGCCTCTTCGCTCAGAAAAGGCCGAAAAATGTTAAAGGGATGCTCCACTTTTTTTGGAAATAGGCTCATTTTACAACTCCCCCAGAGTTAAACTGTTGAGTTTTACCGTTTTTGAATCCATTCAGCCGATCTCCGGTTCTGGCGGTACCACTTTTAGCATAGCTTAGCATACATCATTAAAGTGGACAAGACCATTAGCATTTCTAAAAAAAAAAAATGACCAAAGAGTTTCGATATTTTTCCTATTTAAAACTTGACTCTTCTGTAGTTACACCGTGCACTAAGACCGACGGAAAATATAAAGTTGCGATTTTCTAGGCTGATATGTCTAGGAACTATACTCTCATTCCTGCGTAATAATCAAGAAACTTCACTGCCGTACCATGAGAGCAGCAGGCGTAATGATATGACGCAGCGCCTGAAAATAGTTCCGTTGTGTTGACGGAAGGTAGCCTATTTTCAGGCGCTGCGTCATATCATTACGCCTGCTGCACTCATGGTACGGCAGTAAAGTTTCTTGATTATTACGCAGGAATGAGAGTTCCTTTAAAAAACTTTACATTTTCCGTCGGTCTTAGTGCACGATGTAACTACAGAAGAGTCAAGTCTTAAATAGGAAAAATATCGAAACTCTTTGGTCATTTTTTTTTAGAAATGGTAATGGTCTGGTCCACTTCAATGATGTATGCTAAGCTATGCTAAAAGTGGTACCGCCAGAACCGGAGATCAGCTGAATGGATTCAAAAACGGTAAAACTCAACAGTTTAACTCCGGGGGAGTTGTAAAATGAGCCTATTTCCCCAAAAAGTGGAGTATCCCTTTAAGTTTTGAATTTAACAAAAAAAAAAAAATCTTCATCGGAATGGGATGACACTTGGTGACTTTTGCCGCATTAGCTATGTAAATACACAAAATAATCACGGACATGATTCGTTACACTTGGCTCCTTCGTCGGTCAAAAATGACCGACATTGGAAATTAATGGGAAATAGGAAAACTCAGAGAATCTTTTGGTGGAACAAGCTACAAATCAGCCACTATGCAGAAAAAAAGCCCAGCAATGAACAATTATCGCTATCCTTTCCTTATTTTGTTCGTTTTTTAAGTATTAAATACTGAATAACAAAAATGCTTTCCATGTGTTCCTTTTCAAACAAAAATGTTAATGATTGATTGTAATCATAATGCAAAACCTGACACTTATCTAACAAAAAATATCTAAACCTTGACAAAATGTAGTCTTTTAGAATATCTAAATATATATCTAAATGCAAAACCTAATAAAATTAAGAAATTATCTCTAAAAAAACAACCTCTCTATATTTATAGGGAGCTAAACAGGTGGTTTTTAAGTTTTTATTTTTAACGCATCCAGATGGTACTATACTTTAAAAAAAAAAAGGATTTTAAAAGCATTCACTCTATTTTAATGTGAAATATTGCATTTATTGAAAAATATATATGTATTAATTCGGTAACGCTTTAGATTACAGCCCGGAAAGTACTGTGTAATTAAGAGGAATTTACAGAGTAACTTTCGGTAGTTATAGTGTACCTATAAAGTACTTGCATGTAAGTATAAGGGAACAATATTTTAAGTTTGGGGAATAAAGGGGTAACAACCAGGAGAATTAAAAAAATATTTATACTGTAAGTATTATAGAACTAAGGGGAACTTATTCTACTATTGTGATACAACAATCTTACATTTGGGAGCAATTTAGCGAGAACACTGCGTACCTTTTTGTAATAATTGTGAACCAATACATACTGTATAGGCTTTTTTTAAATTACAGTGTACATATCTATGCATTTATACTTTTATTTATTTATTTTTTGATAGCAAAAGTGCAAATGTTTAAGTTGGGCTAACATGTTTCAAGGCAAGAAAAGCTAAGACTATTGCAATTTTTTTAAATACTGGGAAATATATCTTGTTTCATGTGGTTACAGGGTAAGTGGTAGGTTTCCGAGTCAGTGATTGTGATTGTGTGTATGCATTTTTATTGTTACCCTGTAACTACATGGAACAAGAGGGTAACAAGCACCACTTTAATTTACAGCCCACAATGTCACACTTACCCTGTAACTACATCGAACAAGGGGGTAACGAGCTACATGAAACAAGAGTATCTTTCCACAATATTTAAGCAAAAGTTGCAATAGTTTTCGTTTTCAGTGCACTTTTGTTAAAAAGATTAAAATTACAGGGTACATATCTATGCATTTATAAAGCCTATACAGTATGTACTGGTTCACCATTATTTTAAAAAGGTAGGCAGTATATGTTCTTGCTAAATTGATCCCAAATGTAAGATTGTTATATCATAATAGTAGAATAAGTTATATAGTTCCCTTAGTTCTATAATACTTACAGTATAAATAATTTTTAATTCTCCTGGTTGTTACCCCTTTATTCCCCAAACTTAAAATATTGTTCCCTTATACTTATATTGTAAGTACATTATAGGTACACTTTAATTACCGAAGGTTACGCTGTAAAATTGCTTTAATTACGCAGTACTTTCCGGGCTGTAATCTAAAGCGTTACCATTAATTCTAATGGGAAAAATAGCTCATGAAAATTTTATAAATATTGCATAGTATCATAAACTCCCCTCAAAATTCTAAATAATAATCAAAAAATATTATTGAACAAAAATATATTACATTGATTTTCAAGGCTTCAGTCACTTTTGACAGAGAAGGAGCCAAGTGTGACCCCTAAACTAAGAGGTCCAGGGGGGTTAAGAGGTCCTTTCCCACTACAAAATGTGAACACAGGATGGCAACCATATTTTAGAGTTTTAGTTTATAATGTTATCATGACTGTTTTAGATACAGCACAGTAAGGAATGAATTGTTTGAATGTACAAATGAGTCGCCATGATAATAGTCAGAAGACAGTCACACACAAGGTTATTTATATCAGAACAAACATTACAATGTGCTGCAAAACAAGTGTATCATTTGCACTGGTTGGGCAGTTTTAGTCACTGTTACTCATTCATGGTCTTGTTTTTTTTAAATACAGCACATGTTAGTCATGCTCATAAACATCTGTAACCCTTAAAAAGCAATAAATTATTATGTTTTTCTGGTTTAGACTTTGTTACTTTAATTATAGTGATTTGTTTGATTCAAGAGTGAGAGAATATACATATTCAAGGTAAGATGCTTTAATGTTTTTGAAAGAAGTCTCTTATGCTCACCAAAGCTTAAAATAACTCTTTCCTATTTGCAATATATAGTAAAATGATTCAGTAGATAGCTGACTGCATGAACTGAACAGCTTATACGACGCATGAAAAGTGGTAACAAAACCAAAGATCGATGTATAGGCACAATATAATGCACTATATAACAGTAGGCCTCCATGTGAGAGTATCCATAGAAATGATTGCACATTCAGGCCTAAAGAACTTTCTAACTAGTTATGTTATTAATAACACCAAGAAAAAAACCCCCACAAAACCTGTTCATATCGAACAGACTCTGCACATGATAGTAGACTGATAATAAGACAAAGTTCTTCATGTTAAAACTCCAGGGTTGTGTTGTGTATTTCATTTTGAGGTGTTTGAGTCTGTGCACAAACCGGTGTGAATGTTCTTGATGCCATGTAACGTTTACGGCGATTGGCTCTGTAGACCTCCAACCGCTGGGCCTCTGCAATGGGGTCTTCCAGAGCTCCTTCCCACCTCAAGCTGTCCTGTCCAAGGTGGGTCAAATCAGATTTGTCCTCCTCAGTTGGAACCAAAGGCACTTCTGATACAACAGTGGGGTTTTTGGATTTGCTGCTCTTTTGTTCTTTGGCTTTGGCATGACCTTTGCCCTGAGCATCACTTATCTCTCCGTTGGTCCACTGCTCTGTCTGGAGTTTCTCTGGAGGGAGGATGGATAAAATATATATTATTTTGTTGGTAGCACTGAAAAAGTACTATTCCTATGCATTGAGTACCAATAAAATGTAATATCAGCTGATTTTTTTCACCTGTTTTAAGCATAAACCTTATTATTTAAAGGGATAGTTGACCTAAAACATGAAAATGCTGTCATCATTTACTCACCTTGTCATGTCATTCCAAACCTGTATGACTTTCTGTATTCTGCAGATCACTAAAGATATTTTAAAAGAATATTGGTAACCAGTCAGTTTTGGATTACGAGTCTGCACTTTCGTGACGTAACGCCACTTTGAGTGTCGGGAAGAAGTCTGCTGCAGAGCTCACTTCAGTGTGATATAATTGACTTCTATTGTATAGAAAGGAAAACATTTCTCAAAATAAGAAAGAAAGTCAGACAGGTTTGGAAGGACATGAGGGCAGAATTTTAATTTTTTGAAGAACTATGCTTTTAAAGGCCAATTGAAGTACCTTGAAACGTGCAGCATTATTCAATGCGTTGACATAATTTCCACTGAAACAGGAAGACAGGGGCGGGACATATCGAGCAGCTCCTCCCCTATTTTAAAATAGCCAATAACATTTTGTTTATGTTGGCTTGACCCGAGCTGTTGAGCTCAGCAAAGCTGCATTTGACAGCCACAGTCTAATAGATTCCCCTTTTAAATGTAATATAACTATTACTAAAGCAAAACAGTGAAAGTAATCATGCTTAGGATGTGTAGTTTGAAGAGTGTGTAATTTATGTTGGTGCATGGCACCGATTATCTCTTCTACTCACCAGTGCTGTTTCTAATGCCGAGTCAGTCTAACCGTTTAATGAAGATCCTGGGAAATAGTGGTCTGAAAAAACACTCACGGTCTTCTTACGAGTCCGCACTTTCGTGACGTAACGCCACTTTGAGTGTCGGGAAGAAGTCTGCAGCAGAGCTCACTTCAGTGCGTGCTTGGCAAAAGTGCGCATCAAGGGCGCACAAAATGAAAAATATCGGCCGATACCGATAAGGTGGCCGATATATCGTGCATTTCTAATTGCAAGTTCACAAGACCGTAAGTGCATGTGAAGCGTGTCATTTGGGACAGGGCCTTCCTTGTATACCATCTTCATCACACTCCAGCACAGTAGCCACCTACTTGCGGTGTGCACCTTTTCAGTTGGTTTGAAACCCCCCAATAAATCCACAGAAGAAGAGGACTGTAAGTTTTGGACGCTTATATATTATATAATTTTGTCATTATTTTGGAGCACACTAGCTTATAGATAAACTTAAAGGCTAACATATTCATACTAAAAGCAAAAAACTTAAATTTAGTGATCATGTTTTCCATTAGCTAGTACTTGCTTACTTTATTTATTGCATCAATGACCAGGTAAAGCGTTCACAAGTTTTTAAAACCAACTCACCTGAATCCTTAGTTTGGTTGATACAATTCCTCGATTTCTTTTTCTCTTTTGTTGTGTCTTTCCTTTTCTTTTTGCTCTCTTTCATTGTGGCAGTCAAAGGTGGGACGTGAAATCCTTTTTTAACTGAAATCTCCTGCCGCATGTTTGTTTGAGAAGCACCTTTAATCCGTTTTTCTCTAAATGATGCCATTACTCACGGCTTTCCCAGCACTTTAAAACGAGAACATTGCTTATAAAGACTTTGAATATACTTTAAATACAAATTTCATTTTAATGAGCATTTAAAGAGATATTATTACATCAACATCTATAAACAGGTTGGTTGCGCGCGCGATAGAACCATAGAGGATAGAACTCAGCGTTCTATCAAAGTGAAGGTCGTTTGAGCGTGATGACGCATCTCCATGGAAACCGAACTCCTCCCATGTGCCCAAAAGGAATGGGGGAAACGGTTTAATATTTTCCAACTTTATAGACTTGCAATGGAATAACAACACGCATAATATTTAAATCATCACCAATTTTATTCAACTGTATTCGAAAGAAAAAAATACATATCTGCTTTTGGCTCAGACACTGACTGACCCTATACTTAGAACAAGGCCATCAGTTAGTGAGAAGAACACGGTGCTGAGCAGCCAAACTTAGTAACAGCAATAAAGGTTACAGAAGGGAACCATAAAGAGAACTACCATCCAAACTTTTTTTTTTAAATTGACATTTTATTGACAGACGCAGACCTTTTCAGTTACAGAATGTTTGTTTTTTTGTCTCTGTGGCACTATAAATATATTTGTTTGTTATATAAAATTTAATTTATATAAAATTTTTGAGAACAATTAATAAATAAACACTTGTTTTATTTGTGCCGTTTTGGAATCTTTTGAAGCCTCCAGCAACTCCAAATCTCAAAAAAAAAAAAAAAAAATTACTTTTATGAACTTTGACATATTTATACAACGTATAAAGTGCAACTCAATAATAAAATAAAATAAAATAACTTTGGGGGTTGTTAAGTAAACTTTTACATGTACAGATGATTGGCTGAAAACGAATCGCCCATGAGCAGGAGACGTTTTAATTGGTTGGAACGGTTTAGTCCCGCCCCCTGTCTTGTGAGTCGAGGCTTAACGTTGGCTGAAGTTGAAGTCAGTTATAATCTACGGAAGTCAGTCGTCATAGTGAACCCTTGACGTCGCAGATCCAGTGGCCAGCTGTTACTAATCGCGTCACTCCCTTTGCCAGCTGATCATCGCAGACGCCGGTAAACGTGAGAGCGAGAGGAGAAAACGGAGGAATCTCTTTACACGCGAGGTGAGCGTTTGAGTCAATCAACTTTTCAGACATTACCCAGATTCGTAGTGAATCTAATCCGCAGCCTGCTTCGGTCGGGTTTGAGATAGAACAGCTTTATTCGCTTCGGGGAAAGGCGAGGCAGTTCACTTAGGTGGGGCTGAAAAAAATCCGCTTCTGGGGCACGAACGCTTTTTCTTTTCGCCATAAAAAACGAAAGATTATATATATTAGAACAGGCCATCATCGAATATGTTGGACGCCGGGCGGAGGTCATTACATAAGTTTCATTCCATTATACCGGCCAAACTTCCAACCTACTAAAGCCTTTACTCGAGGACGCAAGCCGGTGTCAGTGTAATCTGTGTGTTTAAAGTTATTTCAAGAAAAATGTAATCCGAGGCAGCAGAGACATGTTGAGCAAATATAAGATAGTTATTCAGTACAATCACGTCAGTCCTTTTTTTATTGCTGCATAGATGCCAACGTGTCTGCTAAAGTGTGTTTCCTCATTTGGTTGGGTAAGAACATTCTTATGTAATTCATTCACCTCTGATGAGGAAATCTCAATAGATTATGCTCGATATGTGACGATACAATCGGTTTTGCTGGTTAGGAAGTGACGTAACAAACTATATAGGCCTATATATAATGTTTTAATACGTCACATACACAATACTGTAGTTTTTTGTGTATGTTAAGTATAACACACACACACACACACACACACACACACACATATATATATATATATATATATATATATATATTTTCTTTTATAAAAGGCTTTTTATATATTATATATATATATATATATATATATATATATATATATATATATATATATATATATATATATTAAAAGCCTTTTATAAAATGTGGAAAATTAAGTTTAGTCTAACAGAATTGTATTTATAGTAGTAATCATTGCATAATATGTGCCCTTTTTTATCCCGTGATGGCATATAAGTTAGTTACTCTCAACTTGCTCTTGGTAATGCAATAACCTTTGAATGTCACTGAATGTACTGGCATGGTTCATCATTTTATTTTTTGTTGTTGTTGGTCAATATAAATTACAATGAAATCTACATAAGAACTATGTTGTTTTCAAGCTATATTTAAAACACATAGACACGTAGATTCTCTGTACAGAGCAGGCCTCAAATGCTGAGTATTTTCTAAGACGTCACTCTGACAATGCATATCAGCAAAAGTCCTTGACAAGACGCTCTTCGTGACATTATGTATCTGTGGCTCTATATTATTGGTTTTATTTTCTGCTAGGTTAGTTTGAGTATAGCAAGTCAACACTTTTTAACCAGGTGTCTAAAAATAGACGGCTCTTCTGAATCGGTGTTCAAATCACAGTACTGTAATGCAGTTACAGCCCTTTAAGGTACAGAGAGCAAACTTGGCTGCTTTTTTCTCATGTATGAGGAATCAGGTTATAAAACCGGACTGTACTTCACCCTGTTGTGGATCTGAATCATCATCTGTAATAAAAAAAGTAAATGTGTTTCAATTGACACAACCACATTTCTTTATATAGATGATCTCAATGGTGAAGTACGTGTGCACCATACTTCCCTCAGTAATGGTTATCATGATGCGATGCTATCAAGCAAGATAATTATTTACATTCAAAGACCTTAAGACCTTTTGTTTTTAAATACAAAAGGCATGTTTCTGTATTGATGTCAGTGCATTAAAATGGCCACCATTTGCCCTATCTGCAAAATCCATGGCAAGTCAGTACTCGGTCACATCTGATTCAGCCTCAGGCTTTGCAGTGCGATGAGTTTTTCTTTCCGCCCTTAAACGGCAAAGAGCGATGGATAAATCTTCCCACCCTGTTCCTCAGTACACACACACACTAACTGATTCAGTCCTTTGTGTGCTCATAGATATCACTTTGTCAGGCCTGAGAAAAGATATCAGCGTTAGCACAAAGTCAGAGTTTAACTGTAGGGTTTATGCTTGTGTATGACCACTGATCATGTTGGCTGAAGATAAGCAATTTAATTGTTTGTTCTTGTGCGAATGCTTTAGATACCAAGGATCGAACACGTCTTGGTACCAGAAGACACTTTTTGTATTAACAACAATGTAGGCTAGTGTGTTAGCCATTAGCAATAGCGAGCTGACCTTAATGTTTCCCTTTTCCATTCACGCACTGCAGCTTGTGTACACCCAGACCAGATCAATAGATCGACTGGTGACAGGGGAACGAGACGAGCGTGTTCAGATATTCAAACGCTGTCAATACAGTTCTCTTAGGCTAATTTGCTAGCCCTGCTGCGACACCCCTGGATATTTCATTGTGCTGAAATCAACATCCATTCATTTCATTTAGGTGATTCGTATATTTCATATATATATATATATATATAATTAATTATACACTAATAAGAACTAATTACTATACTAGAAATAGACTGATTTTGTTACAAAGAGTAGAGGCCACAAACTCTGTCCTTATGTAGTTTAGGCCTCCTATCAATCAGAAATCATTCTCAGGCTCGTTGGGGAAAACATATCTCAATCAACATTTTTTTGGAAAACTCAAATTAGTTTGTATAAATAAAATTCACTGCAGTTTCCAGCTAAATTTGAGGCACTAAAACAAATAGTATTCCTTTTCACACAAATTATGATTACAGGGGCAGATTATTGGTTGATAAAGAATTACACAATACCTTATGACCTCAAAATGGTTTTATTAGAGCTGCTCGATTCTGGATGTATTGAATCACAATTTTTCATTTTAAATGGAGATCACGATTTTCCCATGATTTTGAACAGACTACTAAACCAAATAAGGAATTTACTAGAGGTTAGGACAAATCTTAATTGCTATTTAATAAGGTTTTATTTGTAGGAATTATTAAAAATAAATAATTTTGAATGAATGATTCAATGACTCGCTCATAAATACTTCACTTGTTTTATTACCGGATGAAACAGCATTTTTGAATGAATGATTCAATGACAAATACATTTAAGCCATTTGTTGCCACCTATTGGTGAAACGATATAATGACACAATCGTTATTTCAAGCGCAAAGTTACTTTCAAAAGATGATTTGCTCTATTTTGATCGCTTCCGTAGACATCAGTGTTTATATCTGAACTATAAACTTTTATCTCTGTACTTCTGTGATGATTTAAATTTTTTAAAGACAGAAATAATGACACTGTGTGGTTGAAAAGACTGTTTGTGAAGCGGTTTCATACTTAAACATGACAACTGCGCCAGCGCAAACACAGATTTAAATGTTCTGCTGTGATTTTATCAACGGTTTAATAGACAATAATAAGATCACGTAGGTGTTTGAATCGATCACGATCTTTTGATAATGAATCGTGCAGCTCTTACTTTAACCGTAGTGCCTGATTTGTAAACTAGTACACTAAGTTTTCATCACATTACCAGCTCCATATGTCTTTTCTAACATTGTAAACTTGCTCGGTTGCTCACCTGGTACAACACCGTCACCACACTCGGGTTCGAGTCCTGTGAAATAGTCACAATAAAAGATGGCCTGGTTGCTTTAGCAAATGTGTTTTTATCTCACATTTGCTTTTAACACCGTCGGTTTGGTTTAGAGTAGGTGGTACGTTATCTTTAAACACGATAGATAGAACGTGTAAAACACGTTGTGTGTTTTGTTTTAAAATGATCTTTAATAGTTACAAGGAAACACAAAATGTGATATTTTGCTGCTCTGTTTGAAATAATGTAAGTGGATGGGGACCAGCCTCAAACTTTGCGTGACAGACTGAAAGTCTTAAGTTTTCATAAATTGGTTGACAGTCATGGTGGTCACCATTTAATCTCATTATATGGAAAGGTGAAGCTTGGTCGTTCTTATAAAGATCTTGTTTTGTGTTCCACAGATGAACAAACATCATAGAGGTTTCAAAAGACATGGGGTGAGTAAATGATGAGAGAATTAATTTTTTGTGCCTTCAAGCTGCCAATGTGAGAATGAAACATTTGAGTTATGCGTAAT